CACAGATTTCCGGGGGGGGGGGGGCATTCATCAAAAAGTGAGTGAACTTAAGGAATAATACCTGATTTAGGGGATCAAAAATATATCCCCTTATGTAGCCAAAGCCACCCAACACTCAGCCAAGAAGTGTTTTAGGAACTGTGTCCTCTAAATGTGCCTCCGCTGGCGAATTGTGAAGTGTCAAATTAAAATATAGAGCAACATTAAGCTTGTGCTTCCATTAGCGCTGAATGAATGTTCATCAGTGAATTATGTTGAAAGACTGACTCAATATGGAATATTACACTTATAGGCGATCATCTTGTTTTAAAATAGATGCAAGTGCTAATATCACTCAAAATGTTTTATAATTAAACACATGTTATACATGCTGCATGTACAATTTTCAAATTAAAGCTGTAGTATTCCTGCTTCTCTTGCTGGATCCTAAAAAACTGAGCCCTGACTGACAATGACAATGAACCTGACACCAAATTGGAAAACGCTCGGCCCCAGTACACTGAAACGCTGATAAGTAAATACGATGTGTAAAAGACTAAAAACAGGCTCTGATCAATGAGGAGACAAATGCAAACAGTAATGCGGGGTGACTTTACAAAAGGGCCCGCTGCTCTCTTTTAATCTCTCTCATCACAAATGGGATCAATGCTCCAACAAAACAGCATTGATTTCTCTCACTGATCATCATGATTCTGCTCTAGAGAGAGGAGCCTATTATTACTGCCTTACTCTATATTGTATGTGGCATTGTGTGGTTAGCACCCTTCATAGACATGCAGTGTCTGTTGGAGAAAGCGACTCCAACTGGAGTTTTCTCTATTTAGAAATGTCTTTTTGGAGGCTAAAATACTGAATAGTTTACAACCAGATAATATTACAGTAATGTTTTGTCTTCATCCATATCCAGACATATGCAAACACATAAACATAAACCTCATTTAGAAAATATATTTGTATTCATAATTCCACACAAAAAGAAGAGAATGTGAAAACTGCAGTCATATATGGAGTGATATGACTCAGCCGTAGGGACACTTTGTTCATCCTATTACAATAATCTTAATAGCAAGATGCATTTCCTTTCTGTAATGTCTGAAGTCAGGTCTCTTCTCCTCTGCTGTGAGCAGATATCTGTTTGACTCTCTCGCTTCAGGGGTCAAAACCCAGCTATCTGTCACATTTGGCAGCCATCTAGATACTTGCCTAAAGGTACCACAAATTCAATTCTAAATTTAACGGTAGTCTTCAGTCTATCCACAGTTCAAATGTGCTTCATTAAGTAGAGGCTAGATATACAGTGCCCAGGCAAACACCCACCGGCCTCCCATTTAATTGTAATGCATCTAAACATCCAGAGGCCTTTTCACTTAGTTTCAGCACTCAACTTTCCATACAAACAATAAGCTGTTTTTTGGTATGAGGTTTCTAAAGACACTGGCACAAAACAGAAAGAATGAACCTCAGATTCCTGCTATTTTAATGCCCTTAAAATAAGAGCTATAAAATTGTTGACTAATGACTACAGCCCTCACAGGACAGTCCATTACGTAATGAATTTATTGATGTTCTGTTCTGTGACTTGTTGCACGGTATCTCCAAGGATGATGTCAGTAGTGCCTGCACCAGCAAAGAGGAGAGTAATGTACTGTAGTCTAATATAATTCAAAAATAGCAAAGACATTCCTTAACATTATGAGGTCTGTCTAATAGAGAGTGCAATAGGTAGTTAGTGTGGCATTAACCTGTCATGTCATAAAATTATGGTACATATTTCAATTTCTTTCTGCTTTGATTATGAGTCACACTCCACTTTCAGTGTGATGTCAGAGTGATACAATAGCATTTTTGCTAGCTTTTGGACTCAAACCAAGCAGTTACTACACTGCAGCAAAATCTTAGGTTGAAAAACCATTCACAGGAACGGTCACACTGACGAGACAGGCACGCTGACACACTGATGAGACATGTCTACATTGTGGTTTAATCTTCACTAACCTTTTTTATCTGAATGGTAATTGTAGTTAGCAGCTGTGTTAGTTGTTTAAGAGATCATGGTAGTATTAATTTTATGCATCAACAAAAAAAAGACTATCTGCGATTGGGCAGAAGCACAGAAACAAGTAAGGACATTTAGAAATGATCTGTATGTAAGCAATGCATAGCCATTTGGTTAGGCTTTGACTTAGGAATTTAAGCAAATAAATTCAACTCACATATGTTTTAAAGATTATCCAGTGACTGGTATGTTTTCATAAATAATAGAACAAAATGTTTTGGGTCCTGGGGTGCGGTTGTATAATAGTAGTTTTTCTCAATTTAGTTCAATATAAATCAACATAGTTGCAAAAAGTGTAAGCCACCTCTGTTCAGTAATTCACTTCAACTTAACAGTATAACATATATTACTCATGAAATGTTTCAATATTTCATTAGACTGATGCTCAGGGTACAGTCAGTCAATACTGAACACACCAGAAGGTTGGACCACAAGAGCTTCAACCAGAGTATTCTGATTAATGAAACCCCTCCCCTGAGTGCTATCCCCCAGTACTGCATTGTCATTGATTTAGCAGGGCTAAAACTGTAGGTCTTTTCTCAGGCCTGTCTTAGAAGAAGGATACAATCAATAGACTTCAGCTAAGCCTAATTTCAAGATCAAAAATTAGGATCTGAAACTGAAGGGGGATAAAATGTAAAGTCTTTGTTCTTTATACAGGAGAAATGTACACTTTCTGAAACACCAAATAGATACATTCAAAATAAAACTCCTTGAATGGATGCAGACATTTCACCATAAGAGTGTGAAATACAGCTGAATTTGGACTTGATGACCCATATAGACTCTGAGCACCATCAGAAAATGACAATGTGTCAGGAGACTTCTCAGGAAGAAGCAAAGGGTTTTGCCCCATGACACTCCGCTGAGATGTCAAAACACATCTCCAGGAATGGTTAATATTCAGCAAAATCACAGACACACTCTAAACACAAAACAAATTCCAAGGAGCTGTTGTTTTAGGCTAAGACACAGCTACAATCATACACACATAGGACCATAGAATAAATCTAATTTACAGATTAGAATATTACAAATACATTTAATCTTTTTGGTGTAACTAAACTAGCCACCGGGGGACTAGATAAAGAAAGGAAGATAAAACATGAAAATGTATATAAGAGCAAGCATAAATGTAAGCAGATGAAATGTGTGAGCAGCAGAAAAAAAGAGCAAAAGCAAGAAAGTGTGTGTGTTGGGGAGGGGGGGGGCATTTCCAGTGTCATCCAACCTATTCAGGAAAAAGGTAATGAGGGAGGGGAGGGGAGGAAGGGGAAGGCCCAGTGCAGTGTTTTCTGTCCTGTCACATCCAGAGGAGCCCCCTGAGAGCCGTGGGAGCGCTGAGCTGCATCACGACCTCTTCTCTGATTTCATGCTTTGATGCTCTTCGCTCTTAGCGTTGCAAACTGTTTCAGCATTACGCAAAACACCCGTCCTGTTTTATTCATAATGATGATACTATCATACAACAGCGTGCATGGTGCGCGCTACAGCAACACTTGTACTTCCCTCGGTTTGATATTTTTCTCTCTTTCTCTCAATCTCTTTATTGATACTTTGATCTTATTTTATCTCCTCTTCCCTTCCCCCAGCGCTCCTCCCCCTTTGTGCCTCCCTTCCCAACTTTTCCTCCATTTCTCATTCTCTCAGCTTGTGTCCTCTCCTATTGCCCTCCAATTTCCTGTCTTGCTTCTCATTTCCCTTCCTCATTTCTCCCCTCTTCACTCCTGTTCCTCTCTTCTCCTCTGTGCCGTCCTCTCATTTGTTTGCCTTAGTTTCCTCTTTGCTCCACTGTCATCAGCTCCTTTGCACTGAGCAGCGTGTAATCACGTTTGTACTACATCGTGTCAGTTTGATCGGATTCATGCCTCCATCCTCTGCCACCTCCACAGAAAAAGAGATTGAAGCTTTTTGTCATATTTAAGTCATATCTGTGGGGGCAGGATTCCAATGAAATCTATATGAAAGTAATCTATTGTAGGGCTTAGAGGGCAGGGTTTAAAATGACTCACTCAGCATCAGTAATGATACAACCTTCATTACATTAAAGACTGTGGATAATTCGCATGAAATATAGTGATGCTATGAACCCCTGATAAGAGCGAGCAGTTAGACCCGGTTTACTTGTGACTGATATTGCTGGTGGCAGCAGGTTTGGTCCATGTATACACACTCAATCCCGTCACACTCCCCCCTTCCACTCCCACACACACACACACATTCTCCAACACAATGTGGAGCTGCACTACTCAATAGTGTAATCTCTGCAGTGACGCTGCGATCTTACTGCAGTTTAGCCATGCTCAGCTGCCCCTAGACCACACAGCCCCACACAGCCTGCCAGCTGGCTCATACAAACAATAAGAAAAGAAGGGAAAAGAAAGGAAACAAAGAGGGAGAAGTACTGTGTGTGTGTCTGTACAGAGAGTGAGACTGGGACACAAAGAAGCCCAAAGAAGAAAAAGGTAAAAGTGATCACAAGAGAAGGCAGGGAAGTAGAATGAGGAGGATAAAGTAGAGTGGGAACAAGAGAGGAGGGGAAAGTATTGGTAGAAGAGAGGAATGTTAAATGAAAACAAGGAGAACCGAGTTGACAGAGTCAGAGGGAGAAATGAGGGGAGTCTTGGCAGGGAAAAGACAGCCTAAGAGAACAAATAAGTAATGATAGGGTGATGCGTTCCCATTGTCTGTTGTGTCTGAGATGATAGCGGAGCCTCTCCCTCACATTGTTGGTGTACTGAATACCACCAATCTGCCACCTCTTTGCTCCCATCCACCCACAGCTCTCTCCCCATTACTCCTCTCTAACTTGGCAATCTCTCTGCTTTAAAGCTGTCCCTCCTCCTCTCCTCTCCTCTGATCATCACACATATTGCATCACACAGTGCTTGTTTTCCCTCCTGCTTCCATCCCACATTGTCCACTCTTATTTAAAGTATTTACAGTATTTAACCCCCACCCAAACTCTCCATCCTTCATTCCCATGTAGCCTTAAAGATTGGAATATTGGTAGGACCAAACTGAATTCTGTAATCTAATCAGTATTTCAGTCATCCAACCTATTCAGGGCTTTGCGTTTTTCCTACTGCATTATCCCATTACACTCAGCTCTCTGCAGCATGCCTCTGTCTCTGCCTGTTATGTGATTAATGGAGCTGCACAATGGGAGTCCAGCTCACGTGGAACGATTTGATAATCTCGCGTTTCATCCTCTTGATCTGCTGTCACGGTGATACAGTACCTTTGCTTGCATGCACTTGCTCACACATAAAAAGCTATTTAGAAAAGTGGGTGCACATCCCAATTACAGAAGCTGTGTTTCATGTACAGCCTACTACAGCCTACAGCCTACAGCCTTTTAAGAAATCAGCTAACAGCAGAAAGTCGACTACAGTCTGGTCACTTAAAGGTTATGTATGTATCTTTCAGAAAACCTGTTAATAATGACAGGCATGCAGTGGTCATGAAGTGAACTACAGTCAGTGTCCTGTTTCTCATGCTCCGTACTCAGTTCACAGTCTGCAGGCGTGAGTGAGCATCATTCTGGGTATCGTCCAAAAGTGACATAGACTTGACCGAAGGCTGGAAAATAGATTACAATCATATTTAGAATAACAGCAATGTTCCTATAATTTATTTGGACCATTGACTTGATGCTGCTAACTAGCTTGCCCTTTACATATCACTCCATCAGCCAACACCATGAAGAAATCAATGTCAGACCTACACCTCGCAGGCCACAGCCAGCTGGATGCCCCTGCCTTGCGGACTCCACTTATAATATAATTACAATATATATTTAAATAATATGTAAAATGCTTCAGAATCTTATGGAAGCTTTAAGTACATGGAAATGCATCAAGTAAGTAGTGTCACAAGTAGTGTGTAACCCAGGTGGAAAAATCTCCCTTTCAAGATCACAATCCCTTTCCTGTAACTAGTATGAGTCACTAGTGCAGCAGCTAAGACATGATCACTCACTGGCTTCCTACACGCTAAACCTGCCAATTGTGGTAATGTGAACATACGACCAAGCCAAATGCAGGCTCCACTGCTAAAATTGTACACAGGTCTGTGCATTGGAGGGTGGTCTAGACCTTGTGCCCCTAGCAACTCTTTATTGCCACCACTAGACCATCATGAGTGGGACATATTATTGTAAGGGTGTCACTGCAAAATAAGTACTGTATAAGGTACTGTACTGTAAGGACTGTAGTCCTGCTTGGTTAAATAAAGGTTGTGTGAAATACATGAAAAATTAGTCCACCCAAATCACATCCATCCACAGATTTAACTGCCTGTTGTTTATTTCTGCACTTCAAGGCAATAAAATATTACCATGGCACCTGTAAAACACTTAATTGTGTTGGCTGTAATTAAGTGTAATTACTCTGGAAAACTCCAAATGGATACCAACAAGGTCATAGTAATCATGTAGGCCATGCTCAAACATGCACACACACACACACCAATCATGTTCACCTCAACAGGGAGGAGCCTCAAGGCAATCAGTAGGAGAAAGGAGAGGAGAATGGGGGAGGATGGGAGAAGAAAAGAGAGGCACATAGAGAATGGAGGGTGAGAGGGAGGGACAGGGGGTGAGGGATGGAGTCACGAACAAGGAGAAGCAGAGCGTAGAGCATGAATGCCTGCAGGACTTTGCTTAGCTAGAGAGGCAGAAAAGAGTTTACATGGATACTTTGAAAGAGACAGAAAAGTGAAGGTGCACCGTACACAACATCTTGCGAGGATTGACAACCCAATACAAACATATTATAATAAACTCTTATATCTATGTATTTATTAACATTAAGATGCAATAAAGCATTAATTATAATTTTTTTTGTGGACTGGAATAGTCAAATGAACAAACATGTATAGGCAAAAGTATGATAAGAACATATAATGGCGTGTCTGAATTTCTTATCTTACACGTTCACCAGCTGTAATCCATATTTTTCAAACTTTCAGTCACAACCACTATTCTCCAAAATGGCCTCACCGTATCAATTTTGCATCAGATGTTGCGGTGCACTTGATATATTGTCATGTCTCACAGTGGCAGTTACTATCTAAGGTCTGTGTGCCTGAATTAATGTCCTCGCCACTCTGGTACTGACACAGTGAGTCCGCCCATGTACACAGCTCTGTGGTGATGGATTATACACCTGCAGCCATAGGGACTGCAGGGACTCCTGCTCAACACACAGAGTGCACACAGGGAATATTAGCTACCCTCTTAATCCTGACACGGAAACAGTGGACCAAAACACAGAATCCATGTGAAACACAACTGGGATAAAGTGTGACACATACAATACAAACACAGACAACCACTCTTTATAATCTTTTAAGACAAACAGTATTCCACAGAAAGTAGTGTGGCCCTACCTTTTGCCCAGGTTGCACACTATATACTAAATCAAACCATGATTTTAATATGTAACATGCCAACGCTGAGAAAATAACAAATTAATTATACTTGCATATTAAAATGGTTTGAATGTAGTTGTGTCTGAATTATTAAATACAGTACAGGATGCTGGGAATACTGGATACTATTCAGTATGTGGAATACCTTACATGCAAGAGCAGGTGGCAAGAAAACCAGAAGAAGAACGAGTAAGCTCTTCTGCTGTGCCAAAAATATAGTTTATGATCACAGTTAAAATTATACATTGATCTTTGCTAGCTTCTGTTGCCAATTGTCCTGCTTAGTCATCCATCATACTGACTAGAAAATGTCCTCTGATCAGGTTGTTTCTTTGGGAATAACAAGGTGCTAAAAATGATACAAAATGACATTTTTAATAGCATGGGAATCATTACTTAAAGGTCAGTGGCAGATTTAAAAATCTGTGCAGCAGAGGTCAAGATGTCCTGACTTTTAGGTCCTAGCATGGGTCAAGCTCCAAAACATTTCCCATAATGCAACTGAACATTTTTCATTATACCCTCCCTGCCTGGTAAACACACATCTTTCAAACTCCACACTTCCAGCTTGTAAAACAGACTTTCTGTTATGAAACCTATAGTCTCCAGGCAAAAGCTAATGTAACCATTTTCTCCTCATTATTTCAGTTGATTTTGTATGCATACCCCTACCTTTTACGTACCAAAGTTGCACTGTAATATTGCAATTATGAAGTGTTTGGGCACATTATTGTTCCACAATGCAATATACTGCAGAGTAAAAGGTCAATAATCAAGACTAGAAATAAATCTTTGTCAAACACTATTTAAAAACTAATCAAATAGATGCAATTTAATTAATATCTAAGGAATTGCATAATTTCCCTCTAGCACAAGTAGATGCATGCACATTCACCAACACTCAAACACACAAAAGGTCCCTTACCTAGCCATCCCGAGCTGGAGTTCGGCACACACATATCTGTCTCTGCACTGGGCAGCACAAAGCCCACCACGAACACCTCCACCCCATCTGACATAAGTGCCAGCCCGAGCACTAGGAAGAGCTGCCACTGGAACCTCCCATGGCCACACTCCTGGATGATTAGCTCGTATTGTTGGGCCAGCTCCTCCTCATCAGCCTGTCTCTCTTCCTCCAGCCCTTTACGGTCCCTTGTGGCATCTGACATCGGTTGCCCCAGTGCCACCTGGCCCTCTTTATGCTTCCTATCTCCTGCTGAGGGAATCCCCTGGTACTCGCCCTCATAGATCTCATCCTCATCATCATGGCCCTCTGTGGCATCGCTGGAGCCCTCCTCGTTGTCATGGTAGCCCTCTCCATCCTGCCTCGGGGGGTTCTGGTAGAAATCCTCATCTTCGTCCTCATCCTGGAATCGGCTGTAGTTGTGGTGGGTTGAGTACTCATCAGTGGCACGGTCCACCACCTTGTTGACTTTCTTTGTGGCATGCCGCTTGGCCTCCTTGACTATGTCCTTGGCCCCCTTAGCCAGGGAAGTCCTGTTATTGTAAGTGTCCTCCATTGTGGCTCCACTGGTAGGTCTTCACAGGGGTTCAGAGGATTTTTAGAAGTAGAAGAAAGAGGGGCAGAGGGGTGAGTGTAAGCTGGCAGGGGAATTGCAGGAATGGTGAGATCAGTGGGTCTCGAGATGCAGCAGGGAAGAAAACTCTTAAGTCTGCAGTCACCACAGGAGATAACCCACAATGGCTGTGGCAATCATCGGCCAGGCTGAGAAAGATGGAGGAAGGGTAAAAGACAGACAAAAAAAAGAGAGAGAACGAGCAGGAGGAAAGACAGGGGAGAGATCAGGGAAAAAAAGGAAGAAAGTAAAAGAGAGGGAGATGTTCATCAGATACTGCCCGTAACTCATGTCTTCCCCACTATATTTGTAACTATCCCAGACTAACAGGTGACACCCCACTGACAGCACATACCCTCTTTAATCATTCACTCACCATTCTCCCAGGTCTTTTAATCATTTAGAGTGAAAAGGCTTTGGCTGTATAGCTCTCAGTTTTTATTCAAAAAGGAATATTCAATTTCCAGGGGCGCTCTCCTTCTTCTATATTTCATGAGTTTGACTTGAAGAGATGAGCATTTTAAACAGAGATGCAGAATCTGCTGACTCATGATCAACTCTGAGAAACAGAAGCCAATAAACAAGGCTCTGCCCGAAATCAATTTGCCCCCAATAAAGAGCTGGTTTATTATAATAGGAGTGACAATCCAACCGGAACGGCACTGTCATATTTAATCCGTGCAAATAAAGGAGGAAAGGAGAAATGGTCATAAGTGGATACATAGATAAATGCACACTCCGGCACATAGTAACACATACACACAATAGATATTCTCAAAGGCCCCTGATTTTGCAGGTGTCTTTAACACATAGAATGGGTCACACATACTTGCAAGAAGTGCATATAAACTGACACACAGAAAGAACACACCCAAACATGCTACACACATATGTGAGTGTGGGTTCACAGCATGGATGGGGAGGCCCTTTACCATCTTGGCAGGCCTGTGCTGATGGGAGGGAGACCCCAGCCTAACAGTGCAAATGATGTAACATGATTTCATGTGAGTGTTCAAACTGTGATCCACCATTAATCATTATATTGCCTCCACAGGCTCACTCTGACTTGTTTATTCTATAATTTGTCTTAACACAGAGGCACAACCATTATAACACACAAGCAAAAAGAAAATTGATAATTTTTCGTAAAACAGTTCTGCATAAAATAGAGTGCATACTTGGATACTAGGATGGAGATGGTCCAGCGCTGTCAAGTGTGTGTATGTGTGTGTGTGTGTGTGTGTGTGTGTGTGTGTGTGTGGTCAGTGTGTGCGGGGTCCCGTGTGTCTAGGAGCTGCTCACCACAGCCTCTAATGAACACTGAAGCCTTGTCAGGAGGACAGAAATCACAGGGCCAGCTCCAGCTCCCATAATGCAATTTTACTGGGCAAAATGACACTGCTGATTCAAGGTGACTCTGCTAATCCCTTTTGGCTCATTGGAGGACTTCTGTGCTTATGAGCACACTCCTTTACACATGGACAGATAATTTCTTAATACCTCCATTGACACCGGTGGCACCTTAGATATTGTCCTTATGATGATTCATAAAGACAGCTTTTTTAGCAGGGGTTAACTTGTTATTAATGGCATGATTTTCTCTTTTTCCTGTATAATAATAACCACTGAAGAAGACTGCTGTACCGCATAAATGATAGATTAGTATTACAGGGTTTCTCAATTCTTTCTTGTCATGTGTGAAACTTATCTATTGACTGCATCAGTACAAAAAAAGCCCTGCCAGGAGCATGTCAGAGTTCAGTGGTGTCACTGAACCGATGCTATTTATTGTTTCAGGATCAGGTCATGTCGGCTATCACACGTCATTGTTACTTAAATGGAGCATGCACACCGACAAAAGGGGTGTGTCCTTGTGGAGCCTGCCTGTCAGAGAATCAATGGAGTGTATGGTGAGGCCCCCTGTCAGTGGTGATGAAGCTCAGAGGACACCCGAGCACACAGAAGACCAACCTCACCTGACCGCAGCTGACGGGACCCTGACAGCGCAGACAGCCCGAGCAACGGGAGCAATCACAATCAAACTGGGTAACCACCAACACTCCCAAACAAACTGATCTCTGATTTATTTTGTGCTGTCCCAATCCCTTTCCATTTCGTCTGCGTCCTCTTTATTTTCTGCTTCTCTCTGAGGCTCCCTTTTAGCATCTATTGTTTGCACTAACGCCTGTTTGTCAGAAGATGCTCATTCTTCCGTTTAAAATCAACTGTGCATTTTAGGGCTATAACCAGCTCACCAGTCCAACTTACTGTGTTCACCCAAGTCAGTCAACACATGCCTAGTTGTAAATCCAGCATTATACATCTTTTCTTTCAAGTATGTCATCTTTAACTCATTTGACTATATTTCTACTGATAACAAACCAACATGATGATGAGAAAATGGAACATAAAGAAGCTGTATCCACCATCCCAGGGCATATAGCTGTTGTCTAAAATTAGAACAAAGAGAGTTAATTTAGTGTATGTACTTTTGCTGTGAACCATGAGAGGATGGCTGAAAATAGGCCTTGCTCTGGCTATACCCTCTGTCTGCATGATGGATAGCGGCCCTGCTTTCCTTCAACCTCTTTAGAATACTAAAAAAACACTAGGTCAAGTATCACTTGGCCCCAAATCTCCTCGTGCATGAACAGAGACAAATGAAGAGATTAGAGTTACACACAAGTTTTAGACATACATCAATCTGAGGGCAAGCTATTTGGGAAAAGTAAAAAATGTATGTGTGTTTGACCAACTCAGTCCATTTCAGTAGACTCTTCCGCTGCTTATCATGAATCATTAGCCAAAAGGGGCACTCTAATGACACTGCTAATGACCATTTTGAAATAAAAAAAACTTGAATAATCACACTTCATAATACTGTAATAATGACAGTGGTAATGAACACCCTTAGTCAGAAGAACTTAAAACATAATGAAGCAGTTATCGGCACAGTGAGGGTTTCCTACCAGCAATGCACTTTGTCAGAGGGATGATGTTTTTGTTGGTGATACCTCGAGTCTAGCAGTCACCAAACAGATTGGTTTGGGCAAGCAGGTTGTTAGAATAAGAAGTAAAAAATCAATTCTGGTCCTAGAATTTCAGGTTGCTTGACCCATAACTGCTGGAGGAGACAAAGACTTTATATTTTTCACGAGAACTTGAAGGGAAATCAATAGTGCCTTTTTTGAGGGCAGCTGAGGGCTTCTCTTTTTTTATACACTACAACTATTGTTTGTGCAATACAATATAATAAAATAAAAATAAAATGCATGATGTTTGCATCTCTGAAAATGCTTTCTGCAGTGGGAAATCTCTGTCTTTCTTGTTTATTTTTAAATATGATGTGCACTATACATTGGACCAGTTTTACATGTCCCTTGTCATAGGAGCCAAAATGCTTTCCATCTCAGTCAGATTTGACTTGTCAATGTCCTACCCTTTCAAAGACATGTGGCTTGACGGCTGGTTTGTTCTATTAGCATCAGAAAGAGCAGGTCCAATCTCTAAGTGGGCAGAGCTGCATGTAATCCCATCAAAACGGAGAGCCCATGACCTCATCTGGAAGGCATAGGCACAGCCAGCCCGGGACGTCTTCCGTTAGGAGATTTCATCAAACACTGATACCATTACTGACTGAGTGGAGGGGCAGGGAGAGGACGAGAGAGATAGGTGGGGGGTATATGAGAAGAATTAATAACAGAATAAATTGAAGCTGGGCAAAAAAAACTTCAAGAGAGTGGAAGAAAATGGCTGTTTCTGCAAATGGTTCCACATAAGAATAGAATAAAATTATTATTTTTTTTTAAATCTTTAAAAAGCACATAAACCTCATCTTTCACCTCTCTTCAACAGTCAGAACTCCACCACCGCAGATAAAAACTTCAAAAGCAGAGCTGATTGCAAGCCAATGTTACGTCATACAGATTCAAAAAGCTGTTGCAGCAAGTATTCATCTGACTAATATTAGTATAGACTATTCACTTCTATAAAAAGAACCCCCCTCTGTTTATATTAATACTGTGAATCTCCATATTTGGATGAAAACATTAATACGAAATGCATCCATTCATAAAAGGGCATATTTCCAATCCCACCCTCAAGATTTATAGAGAGTAAAGTATGTCGTCTCCTTTTGCATCAGGCCGGTGTCTGTTTGATCTTCTTGGTAAACATATGGTCTCCTCGCCTTGCCAGACCTCACTGCTGACACAATACAGTGCTTACATAGCAGATATAAAAGTAACGTGCCACCACCGTCTGGTGCAGACCTTACACTTTATGTTGCAATGACGCAATAGCACTGATTAGGCAAGGGATGCAAGATGTGACACATTTAGTGGTGATTTTTTACAATTAATTGTTAATTTTGTCAAACGGTTTCCAATGGTGCATGCTGGGCGTGTATAAAATGTGCCAAAAATTCACAAAGGTTGTGAAAATTCACAGAAAAAATGTCATCTTTTGTCCCTTTCAAAAAGCAATTCATGCTCTCTCATCCTGACAAGAGGATTCTTGAATGTAATGCTATTGTGTTTAACTTAAAAAAAAAAAACTTAAAAATAATGAGTACTTCCCTATTTGCTTCCTGCCCAGGTCAACAAAATGTGCAGACAGAATCTTTTTGTAAAGCTATCTACTACATTGTCACAGGCACAGCGTACTTTGTACTTTGAGTCCTTTCTTTCTTTCAGCAGTGAGACACTGGAATAGAAAATGTCTTCCTCCTAAAATAGCTTTTATGATGCTGCATAAACTTCAGGAAAACTAACAAAATTACATGTCAGTGGATGCTTGACAAGCAGTTGTTGTTGAATGCAAATGAGGGGCATTCTGAATTACAATGATATTCTTGTTTACCATGGCAAAAAAAAAAACCTACATCAACTTGAAAATGGGCCAGAGGAATGAATTCTGCAACCTGCAATCACTTTACCTCATCTAACACTTTTTCATTGATGGACGCCTTCAGTGTTTACCCAGCAGGACTACTACAGCAGCCCTCAGATTGCAAACAAAGCTCTTTGCCACAGATTTCCAGTTCACCGGCTGTGTGCCTGTCAATCGCTCACTGCCTCTTGAGGTGCAATTCACGGATGAGTCAGTTGCCTGCTCCCGCATCCTCTCCTCTTTTTGGCG